ACCTGTCCTTATACACTACAGCAAGGGTGACCTTGGATGACCTAGAAAGTAGGGGTAAGCATTCTACTGAGAAGGTGTACTCCAGTTGACAGCCAGGACCTTTGCAGCCAGCCTGGCTGGAGCAGGTATATGAGTGTGAAGTATATGTTCTTCTGAGAGTGAGTGTTTTCAGGTTCTCAGAAAGCTGTGCCTCCCAGAGTAGTGCCCCCGTCTACCCCAAGACACACACACCACCACCACCCACCATCCACACACACACCCCCAACAACCAGAGCCCTGCCTTCATCCGAGGGGTGGGGAGACAGCACTGCTAAAACCTGGTTTCTAAATGTTTAGCCACAAGTATCCAGGATACAGCCCCACCCCCCTACCTCCAAGCTAACCTGACCTGGGAGAGGACCGGCAGAGCCACCCCGGCCTCGCCTCTCCACCCCCTAATCAGTTTGGAGATTTGGTTTGTACCACTCTGGCCACAGGAGCAAGACTGCGTGCCCCTAGGAAGCTGCCCAGAGGAGCAAAATTGCTCCCAGCTGGGCCCGGCTGGTGGCAGGCTGGAAGGCAGCGGTAGGTGGGGGTGGGGCGAGGGTCTTCCGGCAGGAGCTGGGGAGCCAGCAGTGAGGTGGAAGCAGCAAAGTAGGGACTCGAGCCAGAAACAGCACAGGGAGACCCAGGGTCCTTGGGGCTTTCTCTGCAGTTGGCATCAGCCATGTATGGGAGGGGCCTGGCAGGGGAGCAGGGGGGGTGGGCCAGGGCTGGGCTGGACCCAGTCAGCAGAGAGGTGGGGCTCCCACAGACAGTCCAGGGGCCCCTGCTGACCCAGGTCCTGCCCTTGCAGAAACCTGAAGCCCGAGCCCCCCAGCAAGCGCTCTTCTCCGTGGTGGTGGCCATCGACTTCGGCACCACGTCCAGTGGCTACGCCTTCAGCTTTGCCAGTGACCCTGAGGCCATCCACATGATGAGGTGAGGGCTGCTGCGCTGGGAGATGGGGGAGGAGGGAGACCTGGTCCCAGAAATAGTGTCACCGAGGAGACGTGAGGGTCCCCGAGTCTAGGGAACATGGAGGCGTCAGGTGCAGGTCGCAGTCTCTGCAGGAAATGTCAACCTTTGAGTTTAATTTTTAAATTTGTACTGAGAGATCATGCATACCCAGTAAATGACACCGATCTCTCTCTGAGTTTATACAAACACACAGGAAGCCCCGCTGGTGATTCGGGCTGCTAACATCAGGTCGGCGGTTCAAACCTGCCAGCCGCTCTGTGGAAACTGTGCCTCGTGTCACTGAGCAACTTGTGCAGAAATGTGTCCAGTGGAAACCTAATTTGCCATGTAAACCACGCCTCCCCATGGCCACCACCTGGTCTTCATTCACACACTCACACACCCTTCACAGGGGATGGCTCAGTTGTAGCGTCCTCCTGCCTGGTTTACCTTCACCCTCGTACCACATGGGAACCAATGACCTTACTAATGACAGATTCAGTCCTACACCTTCACTCGCCTACTTGGCATAGAGCAAGGTGGACCATTGATATAGTGTCCAATGCGCCTCATCCTTTTCTGCCCTTCAAAACAAACGAACTCACTGCCATCGAGTCGATGCTGACTCATAGTCACCCTATAGGGCAGCATGGAACTGCCCCTGTGGGTTTCCGAGGCTGTAACTGTTTCTGGGAGCGAAAACCCCATCTTTCTCCCTCGAAGCGGCTGGTGGTTTCAAACTGCTGACCTTACAGATCGCAGGCTAATGTGTAACCACTATGCTACCAGGGCTCCTATCTGTCCTTAGCACCCCATTGTGTTTTACTGCCCAGCTCATTCACATATGCTGTCCCCCTTGCCTGTGTTCCCGAACTTTCCTCAAAAGGCTTGCTGTGGTGAGCTTGGCCTGGAGAGGTTGGGGCATCAGAGGAGGAAGAGGAAAAGGAGGAAAGGTTTGCCAGGCAAACCAACTGGGCAGGGAGTTCCAGGTACAAGTCTGGGTGGTACGGGGAAGTGCGGACTCTCCTCTAGGTTTGGGGGCCATGCCAGAGTGCAAATGGGCCTGGTCTTGAAAGACCTGGCAGAGGCTGGTCTGTAAGCAATGGCCTGGAGGAGGCAGACCTGCTGGCCAGGAGAGGCACAGCAGAAGGCTGGACTGGGGAAGATGGGTGATGGGCAGCTGCTAGTGGTATGCGAATGGGCCCAGGCAAACGCTGAGGATGTGGGCGGACCTGTGGTCCCCAGGATGGGGAGGATACCGAGGGCAGTGTTTATGGAGATAGAAGTGGATGCCAGGGACCAGATTCCTACATTTGCTCTTCACAAGAACCCAGAGGTAGGTACCATTAGTATCCCCAGTTGGCAGATTGGATGACTGAGGCGCGGTCACTTGCCCAGGATCGCACAGCTGGTGCCTCTCTCCTACCTCGTGAGGGGAGAGTCTCGGCTATTTGCACTGACCCATTGCCCTATACCTCCACAGGAAATGGGAGGGCGGCGACCCCGGCGTAGCTCACCAAAAGACCCCAACCTGCCTGCTGCTGACCCCGGAGGGTGCCTTTCACAGCTTTGGCTACACAGCCCGCGACTACTACCACGATTTGGACCCTGAGGAGGCTCGAGACTGGCTGTACTTCGAAAAGTTCAAGATGAAGATCCACAGCGCCACAGTGAGCCAGCCTAGGAGGTGGCGCCGGGAGGGGAAGCAAAGTTTCAAAGGCAGGCAGGCTATGAAGGGCGGGGCTGAAAAGAGACTAGGGTGGAAGCGGAGCTCAAAGTGGGGTACTAAGGAGGGAGGATGGCATTAGATGGGGCTAAAGAGGAACGAGGTTGAAAACCGAAGTTGGTGCTGCCCAAGAGGAGGGGAAACAGTGGGAAATCGGGCGATTTTAAGAGCAGGATCTTCAGGAGATGAGGGCAGAGTTAGGCATCCCCCCACAGAGCCACCCTGTGCCCCTACCAGGATCTCACCTTGAAGACCCAGCTAGAGGCTGTAAATGGAAAGAAAATGCCCGCCCTGGAGGTGTTCGCCCATGCCCTGCGGTTCTTCAAGGAGCACGCCCTTCAGGTGCATTGCGCCCACCCTGCTGCCCTGGGGTGGGGCACTGCCCAGGTCCTTCAGCGCCTGTCCTTTGTCCTCATCCCACGGGCTTCGTGCATGGACCCTCTGCCTTCCCGTCTGCAGAGGCTGCAGCAGACCATGTCCTTGGGGGTGTGGGGGGGTAGGTTTCAGTCTTTCTTGAGGTCGGACTAGTTCCTCTAGCTCCCAGAGAAGACAGCCCCCACCCTGCCATTCATCCACACCCCTCATCCTCCTTCCTCCCACTCCAGGAGCTGAGGGAGCAGTGCCCGTCGTCGCCAGAGAAGGAGAGTGTGCGCTGGGTGTTGACGGTGCCCGCCATCTGGAAGCAGCCAGCCAAGCAGTTCATGCGGGAGGCTGCGTACCTGGTGAGGGCCTGCAGGGAACCCCGGGGATGACTGCCTCCCTCATCAACTCTGCCACCCCCAGGACCCAGGAGTCCTGTGCAAAGAGCTCCAGACCACCCCTGCTGGATGTTTTAGTTGTTGCCACCAAGACAGGGGGTGGAGCTACAGGAACAGACGGCAGACTGGAGCAGGCCCGCATACCCGGGTGTCTGAAGTCAGGCTACCTAGTAGCAGAGCCCAGGGTGATGACTAAGTGCATGTGGCCTAAGGAAGAAGGCTTCTCAGGAGGAAGGAGAGAAGCAGGACAGTAGGAAGGGGTAAGCAGGGAAGTGGTCTCAGCTGGAATCTCACCCCAACTAGATCCCATGGTAGATCTGGAACAAGAGCTGTACCCCTGAATTGGCCATGGTAGGGTAAGGGGGCTGGTCTTCTGTAGTGTGTTAGTGGTCTGTCATTAAGTGACTAGAGGAGAGGGATGGAAACCTCTCGAAGTGAGGTGGTTCCCATCCAGCTGAGGGCAGCGAAGAGGGAAACGGCGAGTCAGTAGCATCCAGCGCTCCCCATAGCCGGGCAGGGCACCAGCGCCCCCACTTCAGGTGCACCAGTGTCTCCCAGGAAGTGCTCCCTCGCCACCATGTGGGCTCTGAACTTATGAAGGGAGGTGATTCTGGTCTTCATACAAGAGGTGCTCAAAAGTTTAGAAAACAGATTGGGGTGTCCAGGCACTCCACTCCACCAGAGGAGGGACATGGCCTCCCAGAGCAAGACTCAGTGCTTGCTCCTGCCCCTGTGACTTTGGGCGACAGTCTCAAGGTCTTCCAAAAGAGAGCTCAAACCTGCCTATGAACGCCCCACTGGAGGAGAACAGGACCCCCCAACAACCCCCAGCACATCTGTGAGCAACCAGGCGTACCCCATGAACCAGTTCGGCAGGCACCTGTGCTTGTCATTGGCAGGAGCTAATGCTGAACCCACACAGCACCAGGATGAAAGCAAGATTGTCCCCAGCCAGCACAAACACCCCACCCTACTGTCCCCCTGCCATCCACCCACACTGTTCCGTCCTGCGTGCTCAGGAAGGGCTGGTCCTGGGCAGGATGTCTCCATGCCCGCCCATACCCATCCTCCCTCTGGTCAGAATCCAGGGAAACCCCACAACACCATAAAGTACTTTCCACGGGGATCCCCTGACTGGGGGCAGGAAATAGCATAACCTATTCCGTGTGGCATGATCCTCCCAGCAGCCTGTCTTGGTGTCCGGATTTCCACCGTTATGTTTCCTGCCTTCTGTACCAGATTCTCTCCAGAGGTCTCCTGGGAGAGGGAAGGCCTAGGCCACTGTCCAGCACCAGCAAGGAGTCAGGGGAGGAGGGCTTTGTGAGCAAAAAGCAGCCCCGCACCTCTGATCGGTGGTGTCACCATCACACTCTCAACTGTGGCCAGCCCTGCAGCTGAGTGGCAAGGGGTGGGGGAGTGGGGTGGGGGTTGCAGGGGCTGCTCTAGCCCCTGCCTCCTTGGGTAGTTCCTGGCCCTCTAGTCTGAGCGCTGCCTGGGGCCGCTCCCGGAGTCTGTGATGAGGCTTCCCAGGCAACTCCAAATACATACAGCATGGAAAGGCCTGGGAGACTTAGCCTGGGTGAGGTGGGATGGGGAGGAGGCAGGAGCCACACGGGCCTGATCTCCCACCCTGGGGTGCCAGCTTAGGGTGGCAGCCACGGCACTGCCTGATCCTGCCCACCCCCCATCCCTAGGCCGGCCTGGTGTCCCGAGAGAACTCGGAGCAGCTACTCATCGCCCTGGAGCCCGAGGCGGCCTCTGTCTACTGTCGCAAGCTGCGTCTGCACCAGCTGGTGGACCTGAGTGGCCGGGCTCCCGGAGGCGGGCGCCTGGGGGAGCGCCGCTCAATTGACTCCAGCTTCCGCCAGGGTGAGCCACCCCGAGGGCCGCTGCCCAGGGCTCAGCCAGAGGGGGTCATTTTCAAAGGGTCACTGAGCCTCCCTGAGGCTGGAGGAATCAAGTCTAGAATGAAGTGGGGTGAGCCCCCACTCTTGGGGGACACCCAATCTGAGGGGGCAGAAACATCCTTGAAGGAGTCCCGTCTGAGTGGGGGGAGACACAGCCCTGCCCAAGGTTACCTCCTCTGAGGGAGAGACGCATCCGCAGAGCAGCCCGGTCTGGGAGGAAGACCTAGCCCTGGCCTGGGGGAGCCCCATCTGAGCGTAGAGACTTGATTCTGCTCTTGGGGAGCATGAACTGAGATGGGTAGGGCTCGGCCATGGGGGGCTCTGTTTGGGGGGCAGACAGCAATGGGATGTGGACAGAGCACCCACTCTGAGCTGAAGGGAGAAGTCTTCAGGACCTCACATCGCCACGGTACTGCCATTTGCTCCTTTATCATCCTACACACGCACACTGGCCCCAGGCTCCTGGGGTCAGGAGAGGGCAGCTATGGTCAGCCTTGGCCACCCCCCTGGATACCATGTTGGCTGTCAAGGAGCTCCCCTGGGATCTTCCCAGCCTGACCCCACCAGCAATAGGGCAGCTCAAAACCCTCCTAAGGCAGACTTGTGCCCTCAGAGTTAAGGGAAATATCCCCATCACACCCTCCGATGGCACCTCCTGTGGGTTCAGCGTGGCCTTCTCTCATTCAGTGGTGAGGCAAAGGTTTCAGGGCTGCTGGCCGCCCCGGGTTCAGGGGAGGCCTGGATGTGGATGAGGATTGAACGACCTCCTTCTCACCCCATGTCACTCCACGGCTGTCTCCCGGCTCTCAGCCCGCGAGCAGCTGCGGAGGTCCCGCCACAGCCGCACGTTCCTGGTGGAGTCCGGCGTCGGAGAGCTGTGGGCAGAGATGCAAGCAGGTGGGTACAGAGCTCCTATGGGGGTGGCCCTGGTGGTACGGTGGGTCACTTATTGGGCTGATAACCGCCAGGTGGGTGAGTGGAACCCACCAGCTGCCCTAGGGGAGAAAAAGATGCGGCTTCCGATGGCGAGATTTACAGCTTCCGAAACCTCCTTCCTAACTGCCAGCGAGTCATGCCGACTCACAGGGATGCTACACCTGGGGTGGAATCGCCCCTGTGGGTTACTGAGAATGTAACTCCTCCTGGAGCAGAAAGCTCCGTCTGCCTCCCGAGGAGCGGCTGGTGCTTTTCAACTGCTGACCTTGAGGTTAGCAGTGTGATGTGAGGCCACGACAGCACCAGGGCTCCTCAGAAGCCCATGGGAGCATTGATATAGGTTCACTAGGAGTTAGACCCTGCTGGCAGGCCGTGGCTTTGGTCTTCGCGTGGGGCAATCCACTGTGTATGAGTGGAATTGGGGGGGAGGGCACATTCCCTGGGAGTCCGGCCCCGCCCTCTCTCCTCCCTTGTCCCTAGCCCCACACTCACATTCACCCACGTAGCCCCACTCCTCCCAGAGAATCTCCTTGGAGTTGTAGCACTCCTGGCGTCGTTTCTTCCCACCCCGCACGCCGCCACCACCATCCTGCACCCTTTTCCCAGGGACTTCAGGTTCTGAGCACCCAACACTGCCCCCGCCCACCTCCTCCTCCCGACAGGGCTCCGGAGACTGGAGCAGGGGTGGAGGCTGGGCGAGGCCGAAGGCACTGAGGGCAGTAGGGGTGAGGCAGGCCCTGGGTGGTGAGTACTGCCCGGTTGGTTTGTGCCGCAGGAGACCGCTACATGGTGGCAGACTGTGGGGGAGGCACCGTGGACCTGACCGTGCACCAGCTGGAGCAGCCTCACGGCACCCTCAAGGAACTCTACAAGGCGTCAGGTGGGCAGCCCGGCCGTCCTGGGCACCTGCGCCCCCACCCCGGCCCCGCTGGCACCCCCTGAGGGCAGATTGGCACTGACTTCACCCGCCCCACACTAGGCGGCCCCTACGGTGCGGTGGGCGTGGACTTGGCCTTTGAGCAGCTTCTGGGCCGCATCTTTGGCGAAGACTTCATCACCACGTTCAAACAGCAACGCCCTGCCGCCTGGGTGGATCTAACCATCGCCTTCGAGGCCCGCAAACGCACTGCGGGTCCGCACCGGGCCGGCGCGCTCAACATCTCCCTACCTTTCTCCTTCATCGACTTCTACCGGAAACAGCGGGGCCACAATGTGGAGACGGCTTTGCGCAGGAGCAGGTGAGTCGGGTGCTGCAGTGAGGGCAGGGTCTGCGCATGGGCAAAGCCCTCCCTGTCCCCCACCAGGTAGAGTCAAAGGCCCTAGGGTGGTTGTGTCCGCTTGTTACCCCTCACTCTTGTGCTCACTCTCACACCTGCGTGCACTCCATATCTCACCCATTGCAGGGCAGCAACAAGGACGTGGGTACCCCTCAGTTGGGGGAGAGTAGAGTGGGGATGAGGATCCCGGGCGACCGGTCACCCCTCACACAAGATCCACTTTGAGCGCAAGTGCATCTGACCTGAGGCAGGCAGAGTCCCAGCCCCAACGTCGTCGGCAGGCGGCTGGGCCCTACACCCTGAGCCCTTCCCCCCTCCCTGCCCACAGTGTGAACTTCGTGAAGTGGTCCTCTCAAGGGATGCTTCGGATGACCTGCGAGGCCATGAACGAGCTCTTCCAGCCCACAGTTACGGGGATCATCCAGCACATTGGTGAGAGCCCGAGCTCGGGGTCCCTGTGCATCCAGAGATACACAATCCCATCACACTGAAGTGACCTAGAGTCACCTGGAACGTCCTGGGACACATTGCCCGCAGTGAATAAGAGCTAGGAGAGGTGGTGTGTGGTTTTGTCAGGTCAAAGAGCCTCCGATGCCTCAGTTTCCCTACCTATAAAGTAGGTTCCTCAAAATGTTATAGCCAAGAGCAAATGAGCTGAAGTATCTAGTGCGGGCAAGTCTTGTATGCTGGAGGCGTTTTATACATGGCCACTGGCATCCTTACCCACGGCGGAGGGGGGCACAAAGGAGGGAGTGTGTCAGGAAGGCAGCACCAAAGCGAATTGCTAGTGGCCCCCAGCCCTCACTGATCAGCCAGAACCCAGCTGTCTGGTTTCTACTGGAGCTGGTGGCGCCCAGCGCGAAGTGGTCCGGCACTCCCTCGTGCTCAGAGCTGCGGTCACTTCAATACTACCAGCCGTTCCCCAGGAGAAAGATGAGACTTTCTACTCTGTTAAAAGAGTTACAGTGCCAGAAACCGGCAAGGGCAGTTCTACCCTGTCCTATAGGCTCACTGAATGGGAACTGACTAGAATCTAACGGTTCTCAACCTGTGGGTCTCCACTCCTTTGGGGGTTGAACCACCCTTTCACAGGGGTCGCCTAAGACCATTGGAAAACATAAATATTTCACAATACATAATTACATATTGTTTTGTGATTAATCACTATGCTTTATGTTTATATTCAATTTGTAACAATAAAAATAAATCCTGCACATCAGATATTTATATGATGATTCCTAACAGTAGCAATATTACAGCTATGAAGTAGCAACGAAGATAATTTTATGGTTGGGGGTCACCACGACATGAGGAACTGTATTAAAAGGCCGCTGCATTAGGAAAGTTGAGAACCACTGGACTAGATGTAGATGGCAGTGGGTTTGGTTTTAGTTTTGAGCTGACAAAAGGGTACATCCCAGCCTCTTGGGCCGGGCGCCAGTGGCCCCGTAGTGGCGGTCTCTGCTCTCGGGTCTTTTCCTCGCTGCCGATCTCTCTCCCTTTCCCTGTCCCACAGAGGCTCTGCTGGCGCGGCCCGAGGTGCAGGGCGTGAAGCTGCTGTTCCTGGTGGGCGGCTTCGCCGAGTCGGCCGTGTTGCAGCACGCAGTGCAGACGGCGCTGGGCGCCCGCGGGCTGCGGGTCGTCGTCCCGCACGACGTGGGCCTCACCATCCTCAAGGGCGCTGTGCTCTTCGGGCAGGCGCCCGGCGTGGTGCGCGTGCGCCGTTCGCCTCTCACCTACGGCGTGGGCGTGCTCAACCGCTTCGTGGCCAGCCGCCACCCGCCAGACAAGCTGCTGGTGCGCGATGGCCGCCGCTGGTGCACCGATGTCTTCGAGCGCTTCGTGGCCGCCGAGCAGTCGGTGGCCCTGGGCGAGGAGGTGCGGCGCAGCTACTGTCCGGCAAGGCCCGGCCAGCGGCGCGTGCTCATCAACCTGTACTGCTGCACCGCCGAGGACGCGCGCTTCATCACCGACCCGGGAGTGCGCAAGTGCGGGGCGCTCAGCCTGGAGCTCGAGCCCGCTGACAGCGCCCCCGAGCCTGCCGGCGCGTCCCCCGCCCGCCGCGAGATCCGCGCCGCCATGCAGTTTGGCGACACTGAGATTAAGGTCACCGCTGTCGATGTCAGCACCAATCGCTCCGTGCGCGCCGCCATTGACTTTCTTTCCAATTGAGGGGCTTGGAGCGCGGGGAGGGGGGTGGGGGGTTGTACGGCACTGCCCACCCTGTGCTCCGCCCCGCTCACGCCTTTCTTTTAGGTCAGAGTGGGTAGCCGGCTGGGACAGCCCAATCTGCTGCTTCCCATGTCGGTGCCCCTTTCCTGGCCCTCTGCTCAGGGGAGATAAGGTCACGGGAGGGTTGGTGGGGACACACACATACTGCTTTGAGATTGCGCCTAGTCTGCTGACTGGAAGACTCCCAAGTCCCAGGCAAGATCTGGGGCAGGTAAGGAGGCTTAAAGGTTTGCAAGACGCCACTCCCAGCCCGACTGGAACATGCAGGGCCTGTGGGCCCGAAGACAGACAGAAAAGGCCAGCAGAGCCAGCCCTGACCTGAGGATGGGAGGAAGTCAAGGCAGGCTGCAGGGAGTTCTTCACTGGGACATGAAGGGCCAGGTTCACAGGAGTCAGCCCACACTGGAAACCTGCAGAGCAACCCTGTGTGGCAAGGAAGTGACTGAAAGCAGACACCAGGGGACAAGGGTGGTACTGACCAATGCAGGGCCGTTAACCACAGGAAAAGTAGCAGCCGCTGATGGGGGATAGATACACAAGGGGATGTGGGCAGTGCGATCGGGCCTTTTCTTCAAGACGGGTGACCCACATGGTGAGGCTTCAAGGACCACCCTGCAGCGGACTCACTGGCACCTCCGCCCAAACATGGAAGGGCAGTGCAAACGGAAGCAGGGGAGATAAAAGAGGAATGAGGGCCCACCCATAGGCCTCGGGGTTCCGAAGTGTGAATTATCAGGTACCTTCCCTCCAACTGTGACAACATTGCAACAACCCCACCTGCCTGAGAACCCCAAGGTGATAATAAAGCATGTATGCTCAAAGTGACACCACAGTCTACCGGGGCCACATGACTAGGGAACCCAACAGTGGAGTAGTGGAAGGCCTGGGCTCTAAAAGTGAAGGGAGAAAGCTTGCCACAGTGTCCAGGGCGAGGAACTGATCAGAAAAGGCCCCGATATTTCCCTGTCAGGCCTTCCAAATGGAACTCCACTCAACCCTGGTGGTTGAGGCAAAACTGCTGACAGGTTGGTGCTTGAATCCACCTCATCATGGATCATCAGTGGCCCTGATGATGCGCTTGTGTGAGGGTAACAGCCTAGAAAACCCCGTGGGGCAAGTCTACCCTGTCCCAGGGGGTCGCTATGAGTCTAAGGCTCAGCAGCACTAAGGTGGCTTGGGGCAGGAGGCTCCTCTCCAGCCCAATGCTGTCATTGCCTTGGCAACTGTACCCACACCTGACATGCTATCCCCTGTGCACACTCCTATGTCATACCATAAACTGCCCTAGTCTCCCCAGGGAGTACCTTTACCCGGGTCTCTTCTGTAGCCCACCTGTGAACCAGAACAAAAAGTGCAGCTGCCCCTGGTAGCCACTGTAAATTTTATTTTTTAGGGTTTTATCCCAATCAGTTGTTTAAAAACCAAGTAACACAGGCCTTGGGGGTAGGGGGCCTGCACTTCCCTCTGACTCGCTGTGGGCAGCAGTGGGGAAGGGGAGGGAGATGTGGCTAAAGCGCAAGGCAACAGCAGTGGTGGAGCAGCATCCCACGCCAGTTCCCTCCGCTCCCCAGCCCTGCTGGAGCCCCTATGGCTTGGGTGGGGGTGGCTCGAGCCCACCCCTGGCCCTCTCCCTACTCCCTTCCTCAAATAGCCTCCTTGGGGGCTCAATCCATCTCTTCCAGCAGGAGACTGAGGCACATGGAGAAGAGGAAGCAGGAGAGGAGGCCTCGGGAAGGGGGCGGTTGCACGAACGAAGGCAGAGGTGAGAGGCATGGGCGAGAGCCCGGCTCAGAAGCCCCCGGGCACTCAGCCCCCATGCCCACCCTGGGAAGGGTGGAGTAAGCCACATCATCACGCAGCATGTCGGGGAGAAGAGGTGGGATTTAAGGCTGAGGGCCCAGCGGCAGGCGGGGGCAGGTGGGGGGGGGGGCGGTGGACACGGCCTCAGTCGAAGCCGTGCCAGTCGCTGTGCTCCGAGTCATATTCCAACTCTGCACCCACGCACTTGACGCCGTCCAGCAGCATGGGGGTGCCGTGGTGCCGGTCTACAGGGCCCAGGACGGGAGGTGGGTCAGGGCCAGTGTGCCCCTGGCCCCACCCACGCAGCCCACAGGGCAACCCTCCCACTTCCCTCAGGGCTGACAGGGAACCCACCACGGAGGTTTGGAACCCTGGACCTGGGCAAGGAGTCAGCCTTTGAACCGGGGTTCCAGGAAGGCGGGCGGAAGGCCCTGTCATCAACTTGCCCTTCCCTTCTGCAGCCAGCCACCCCCACCCTACCCCAGGGTCCGCCGGTGCCCATTCTCACCCATGACGCGTGCCTGCACCGTCACACGCACACAGGCGCCATTGCCGCCCTCGCAGGCTAGCAGCATCTCCTCCTTAAGGACGCCCTCCTTGTGCGCAGAGTACTCGCACTTGACGCTGTAACCTGCAGGCACGGGGGTCAAGGCTGGCCATGAGCACTTCTCCACCTCCTGGCCCCTCCCACCAGTACCCGCTGGCCGGCACCCACCACCAAGCCCTGCAAACCCCCCTCAAAAGTTGTAAGGCTAGCCCATTGGGAGCCCCAAAGAGCGGCCCCTCACAGACCTAGGAAATCCCCCTTTCCTCACAGGGTCCATGTGCCGCCCAACCGAGTAGGGCTCCCAGGTGAAGCTGAGCAAAGTCAGCGTTCCAGGAGGGGGACCTGCTGCCACCCCCAAAAAGGGGCCTGACTAGATTGGCTGGCAGAGGCAAAGGCCTGTGGAGTCTTGCCTAATCTGAAGGACGAGGGCAAAGGCCGGAGGTGGGTGAGGGATGTGACACAAGCTGGGGCTGCTCTTGGCCACACACTGCCACACTAGCCTCTGCCAGACTGTAGGCTTGGAGCAGGAGAGGGCAGGGCCCAAGGCCCACAGGGTTTCTACCCGCTGGAAAGGAGCCCCTCGCCCAAAGTCCAGGGCCAGCAGGTGTTAGGAGTTGGCCACCCAAAACCCAGGGGTATTAGCAGGCATTTGATTTGGGGCAAGGCAGGAGGGTGGGCTAGGGGACCCCTCATCCCACCGAGGGGACAGCACAGGATGCAGATGGACAGGCAGGGTTACAGTGTAAGCCTTCAATGTTTGTCCAGGGCGTGAGTTAGGCCGAGGCATGGAACCTGCCAAGGTGTCACACTGTGGGGTCCCAAAGAGACATGCCCACTGCTGAGCTGCCCATCCACCCTAGACAGTGGGGCGGGGTGGAGGGCCCTCAGTTCTCACTCCCGTTCCCACCATAGCCCTGCTGGAGAAGGGCAGCAGGACTCCAGCACTCCAGGGAGGGGCCAAACCTTCCGGGATGGACATGACGCTGAGAAGCTTGAGGTGCAGACTGGGGACAGGTGCTTCACGGACATCCTTGCTCAGCCTGTGCACTGGAGGCAGGGTGAAGGTAATTTCGTACCTGTGCAGGATCTTCAGGAAGCCAACCTGAGTGGGAAGGGGGCAGGAGGAAGGGCTCGGGTCATGCCATGACACCCTTGTGTGCCCAAGCACCTGCTGCCCTAGACACCCCAGGGTAGGTACTCCTCCACCATCCCCCCAGCTGGTGTGCAGCACCCGGCCCCAGGCTCATTGACACTTCTTCTTCCCCTGAGAGCCTCCTAGGCATCTCTCCTTAGCGCCCAGAGCTCCTCAGGGGCCCAGGAAGCCAGGAAATGACTAGCCAGAGATTACACAGCAGGACAAGGTAGAGACCTCTTGGCCATTCCTGCTTCTTATGGCACACAGCAAGGCACCAGCCACGGCCCAAAGTCCCATGACACAGGGCATTCACCTGCCCACCCCCTGCCCCACCCTCCCCCACACCCACCAGCGCCTGCCAGAGCCAGGGATGCTGGTCCTCCAGTTACTCATGTGGAAGCACCAGGCAGCAGAGAAAGCACAGGACGAGGACTAAGATGGGATCAGAGAAAACACACTCGACCAGTCAGCTATTACACAGTCTAGCGCTAGCCCGCAGGCCTGGCACCTGCCATCAACCTGGGCTCCTGCCTATTCCACTGGCACCCAAACACGGATGGCTGCCCACCCACTCAAAGGCTCCCTGTGCCCCACGGCCTCTCCTCACAGCCTATGCCGTTCCTGTTGCTCACACACTGCTTGGACACCGATGTCCTCTGGCACAGACACCGTGCTCGGACACTCCAGTCCCGTGAGTGAAGGCTTCCAAGCCTCCAGAAGGCTGGCCTCGGATCTTGCGGGTGCACACACACTTCTGTCTGACTCACAGGTCGGGGGCTAGGACTCGGGCCACGTGGCCCCCCCGCCCCCAGTTGGTAGAGGGCACACCTCTCCTGAGGACTTCGTTTGTTCCCTGCCAGCTGGGCCTCCCCCATCTGCAGACTTTTCCCAGGGAAGTACTCGGAGAGGTGCTAGGGCACGCGCACCGCTGCCCTATTTACAAAGAGAGAAGCAGAACAACCGTAACACCCAGGAGAGGGCCCGGCAAACTCAATGAGGAGCCACTTAATGGGCTAGCAGGCACTTTGTAAGCACTTCTGCAGAGTGAGTCACTGCCACAGATGGCCGACGGCACACGACAAAGGCAGGCCAAACGCAAAGTGTATCGAGTTTTGTATGTGTGCTTGAGAAGGAAACCGGCCGGAAGGACACACATCAAAATATCAGCCCATTCTGACTGCACGACAGTGGGTCTCTTTGGTTTCTTGGTATTTTTCCATGTATCCTACATTCTAAGGGACGTGAATGGATTTCACAATCACAATTGGGGGAGGGAAGGGGAGTTATTTTTAAGAGGTTTGGTTCATTCTACTTACTCCCCTGGGGAAGCTGTCAGTTGGGAGGGGAAAGAGCATTTCAGAGTCAGAACTGAGCACAAACCTGGGCTCCTCTCTCAGCAGGGTAGCACACCACCTTGACAGTCCTCCCGCCCCCATTCCCCAGGGGCACTCTGCTCAGCTCTGGGTCCTCGGTTTATTGACAGACCCACCTGAGGACTGACTCTCCGATTAATCCCCAACCTGCGCCCTCCACAGATAGACTGTCCCCTGCCCCTTCCATGGGTGTGGAATCTGATGGTGTCCCAGAAGGTGGAGGAGCCACAACACAAAGGGTGAGGTGTGGCCATGTAGGGATGTTCATGACTCCTGCCGAGCGCCCCCATCAGCCAGAGATTTGGCAAAGAGGGTAAATAAAGCCATACCTTGTTACCACCCTAATAATCAGCAGTCACCACACCTCCACGTACACCTATTCTCCTCTCATTCTCATGTCAACGCCACTTTACAGAAGAAATGGAGGCGACCTGCCCAAGCTCCCAGATCAGAATGGCAGGCCCAGTCCTGAGACATGAGAGCCTGGATGCCCTGCTCCCCCTGCTGCTGCCCACAGGAGGCTGAGGCCACCACTCTGCTCACACTGGCCCCTCTGAAACCTCACCGCCACCCACTGTGCAGGCAGGAAAACCAAGGCCCAGACAGAGACAGAAATGCGCCTATGAATCCAGGCCCAGGGGAAGCAGGCAGATCTGGGATGTGGTGCGTGTGTGTGTACGTACCTTGACAAGAAAACTGCTGTCACTCTCCTGGGTGTGTGTGTGTGTGTGTGTACACGTACCTTGACAAGAAAACTGCTGTCACTCTCCTGGGTGACCATGACCACGGAATCGTGCAGCTTCTCATCAAAGTGCACATGGCTGTGGGAGCCTTCTGCATCGTGGCCTGCTGAAAATCGGATGCTCCGGACTCGGGGCTTGTTGCCTAGGAGGAGGAGAGGACGCCAGGAGTGGATGGCTTCACCTGTCCCCCTCACCACCAACCTCGCTGTCCTTGATATCACCCGGCACCAACCCCAATGGCTGGGGACCCCCTCAGGACTGGGCCATCTCCCTACTGGGGCCTGAGAACATGAGACTTGAGGCCCTCTGTCCAACACCTGTCCAGTCCTCCCACAAAAATGCCCAGCCTGAGAGTGGGCAGGAGGTGGGGTTCACGGATTGGTTAGTATGACCCCTCACTTAGAGAGACTGGAGCTGAAGCCAGAGACAGAAGAGACTGGCCTCGAGAGGCCCACCAGCCCAGACCTCTGCATCCCAGCCCAGGGCACGCTCTCAGTGACTAGTTCCTGAGCACTGGGACTTTCTCTCCAGCTCTTGCTGATCACTGGCAGGGAAGCAAAGGCGCAGAGGTCCTCCCCACCAAGGCCTGTGACCATCCCTGAGGTCAGCTTCTCCAAAGCCAGGAAAGGTGCAGAGAGATGGGCAGAGCCTCTTGGTGGGAGGGAGGACCTGGGACACCCTAGTCTGGGTTCTTGGGGCTGGAAGCTAACCTAGCAGTCCCGCAATGCACTGAGCACCCTAAACCCAATGCTCAAACCTTATCCAGTCTCCCCAACCAGAAGCCCGCCACCCCCCACCCCACCCCCATTAGCCCTCAGGATTCCTGACTGGGATCCAGATTACCTTCCACAGCCTGCTGTGTCCTGGTCATCTTGCCAGCCTCAGTGCACACACTTACCACAAGCCCCCTGTGTTACCTAACACACAGTGGGACAGGGGGGCTGGACCAAGAGGACAAACGTCTTGACAAGTGGCTAGCCAGGGTCCCTGGGGGTCTGCACAAGGGCCTGAGTCGTCCCAGGAGAGACCTGGCGTAGGACTCAATTCAGACACACACACAGTTGACACAGACCCCATATGCCAGTTCCTGCCAGGCCACGGCACTCACCCTTGTTGGCTGCAGCCATGGACACCCTCCCTGCCACAAGGCGAGACACGCCGCTCCTACCGAACACCAACGCTTGGGCTTAGCAGCCTCCCATTCTCTGAGGACACCAACAGGAGCCTAGAGGTCAAGGACAGGGGAGAGCAGGGGTCAGGGTCTCCCATGGAGGTGGCTGGGGAAGAGCAGAGAGCCTCCCTTTCGGAAAGACCCTGCTGCTCTCAGCAGCCGGCACCTTCCAGCACAGAGGGCCTCTGCTCACCAACTCTTCTCCAACCTGGCCCAGACCAAATGCACTGTGAGCCTTCACCCCGGCCTGACCAGAGTGTCTGTCAGCTGAGCTTGAGCAATGGCTTCTGGGTCCCAAAATGCCAGCACAGGTCTCCTCTGCCCCAGGCTGCCCAAGACAACCTACAACGAGGGGCCTTTCCTGATACTTTCCAGGGGCCATTTCAGGGGGAGCTGAAGACCCCGAGCCCTGGCCCAGTGCAGACACAGGGCTGTGCTGTCCCACAGCTACAGGGGTCACGTCATTCAGGCCTCATGCCTAGTGCAGCTGAGTCCAGGTCAGAGTCAAGATGGGGGGTGGGAGGGTAGAGGGGGTGGTAGACACAAACAGCGGACCACCAGGGTGCTCTTAGAGTTTCTGTCCTGGCAACCAGGGTCAGGGACAGAACAGACGTCCTGGTGCCGGGGTAGTGAGAATCCCGGGAACCCTATGAACATCCTGGGCTCCGAAGGGCTGAGCTGAAGCCATCTGAGCATCAAAAAGAACAAGTGCACGTTCCGAGAACAGATGGAGTGCATGAAATCAGCACATCCACAGTGATCACAGAGGAAAAACAAAAAGCAAGAAAGCAAAACAAACAAACACGCCCAAAGCCTCATTTGTCACCACTGACGGTAGCAAGGTCCTCCCGCTCCACTCTGCGGGGGAGAAAAACCTTGCAATAAATGAGATATGATTCAGAGAGCCTCTCCTGTGACCAAACTGCCCTCCTGACCAGAGGAAAGGCTGGCTTTACAACATTCTGGCTACTAACCAACCGGGGAATGACCCAAAGCAAAGTCATTCTTTCACTGGAGAGAGACAAAGGCCAGGTCGGCCCAGGGAATGTGAAACCGCTGCCCAGGTCTGCTGGCCGGGGCTGCCCTCAGGGAGTAACAAGTTTGCAGTGGGGGATCGATGCAGCTGCGGCAGGAAATAATCTCAGCTCCCCAGTGAGGGGGAGAGTGGTGACGCACCCCTGACACACTCGATGCCTGTGGCAAGGGATGGAGTCACACCATCCCTGCTTTGGCCTGCAGTGCCCCGTTGACATGTCCCAGAAATGTACTGGGAAACGGAACAAACAGCAGAGCAGTAACTCCGAAGGACAACTGTGGTGGTTTGGTTCCTTTGAATTGCAAGGGAAAAGGGGGCAGCGGAGGGGTTGGAGGGAGGTTTGTTCTAGAATGGCAATTGGCAGCTTTCCACCTGCAGGTCTGCCACCTGTTCCCTTTTAATAAAGTTTTATTGGCACATAGTCACCGTCATGCGTTTGCGCATCATCTATGGCTGCTTGTGTGTGCTTCGAGTGGTGGTGACAGAGACCAAGTGACCTACAAAGCCTAAAACATTTACTCTCTGGCCCATCACAGAAAAAGCTTGCCAACCCCAGTTCTAGATTAACACACTCAGGAGACCAAAGCAGTGGGTTGTTTTACAGGACAACTGACCTGCTTTCTTTCCCAGCACAGGAAGACTAACTTGAAAGAGAGAGGTTCTAATCAACTCCCTATAAAAAAGACATTTGGAGATAACTGGGGAATGGAACTGGGAATGGACATAGGAAAATAGCAGAACTATGAGATGATTTTATTAAGTGAGAGAAGAGAATGGTATTATGGAGGTAAAGATATCCTAATCGTCCAGACATACAGACTGATGTATTTGGAAACATGTGACTTCACCTCCCTCCCCACTTCCCAACACCACACGCTCCCACCCAGGGCCACGCTCAGCCTCGGAGGCAGGGCCGGGTGAAGGGCTTGGGGAGCAGGAATCTCTTAATAGGAGGTGCAGGGAAGAGCAAGGCTGGCCAGCACCCTCGCCCTAAGGCCTAGCACCCAGGCCTCAGTCCAGGAGCAAGCAAGAGAACTGGGCCCCCACTCACCGAAAGGGTGGGTCAGCCACAAAAAGGCTAGGCCCTCAGCTATAGAATGCCGGCCTTGTTCTCAAGAAAGCTGCCCTTTGGGAAGCAACTGCTACTCACTCCACCGGCTCCAGCCACCTCCTGAAGCTGTGGACTCACAGCACGTGACAAATGTTCCAGCACAGGGGTTCCCAGTCCCCCTCTGAGCATGCACAGAGGCCAGTCCAGCCTGCCTCTCTGGCCATGGGGCCAAGGCCAACAGACCCCCTCCTGGGCAACATCTTAGCCAGCAGCTGTGAGTAAGTAGAACAAAGGCCCCCAGGGGATTTTTACAAAACACCCAGACTTTGTGCATGCAGGGCCCCTCTTCCTCCCGCCTCTGGCCCCTACTACTCTTAGAGACCAAATCCCAAATCCTGCCTGCCTTTGTCCAGGCCATGGGGCCCTCCTCTCTGCCGGTAACAATCCTGTCCCTACCCCAGGGTCACTGTCTTAGGGAAGCCCCCTCATCCCAGGACATATCGGAAGGATCCCTCTTTTCCTATCCAGGGATTTGGCATCTCTCTTCAGCACTACTAGAGCAGTTGGCCTGTGTTTTGGACGAACCCTGTGGCCCCGGTGCCCAGTGCAGCTCCCGGCAGAGAGCAGGTGTGCTGAGTGAAATGTGGTGAACAGGAAGGCAGAGGCCTTGCCCTGCCTCCGCCCCTGCCCTCAGAGGGGGCCCACCCAGGCCAGGACCCACCACTGCTGCACAGCACCCGCACTCAGCATGGAGCTAGCCCTCAGGAACAGCCCGTTGCCCTCAGAGTGAGGGGTCAGAGGGGCAGGCAACTGACCTCGAGTGCCTATAAAGCAAAATGCCAACCCAGCTGTCTCCTAGCCACTTCCTACTCACAGAGATACCCCAGCGTGCAGGCACAACTGTGCTCCGGGGGGTCCCCGTGGCTGTGACCTCAGAAACAGATCGCCAGTCCTTTCTTCTGGGGCACCTCTGGCTTGGTTCAAACTGTCAGCCTTTCGGTCAGTCATCGAGTACTGAACTGTTTACGTTACTGGGGGGGGGGGGGCTCCAGCAGGCTGGAAAACCAAACCCCCTTTGGCACAAAGGACCTTACCACTCCCGGGGCCCCTGTCCTCACTGAAATAAGCTGCCGCCTCTTTCTCAAGTGGAGTGACTGATAGGCCAAACCACCAACCTTGTCCTCAGCTGCCCAGTGCTTAACCCACGGCATCACCAGGGCTCCTCAGGGATCTGCTAGGCCCCAAGGAAGTCCAAGACAGGTCCTGTGTGGCCCCCTCCTATGCCACCAAAACCCTGGGCTTGGCCTAAATCAGGCCTTCCCCAAGTGGCAGCCTTTCCCACCTCCCACCTCACTCCATCGCACCCCACTCCCAGGCAGCTGGGAGCCGGTCAGGAGCCAGGGCTGCAGAGTGCAGCAGTCTGGGTTCAAGCTCAGTCCCTTGCTGGCTGCGTGATCTGGGCAAATGATTTCACTTCTGTTACCTCAGTTTCCTCCTCAGTAACACAGGGATAACAGAGTGAACACTAGCCCACGGGGTGCAGCAGGCAGAACTGCTGACTCTATGACAAGGCGATCCCCCCAGCGGCTCCCCGACCTCTGTGAAAGCAAACCCCCAAAGGCCTGGTTTCTGAAGCAACCGCCGATCCAGGGCGGTACTGGCAGAGGCGGTTCAGGACATTCCCGGAACAGCCAGGGTGGGCTCCAGGGACTTCAGCCTTCTCAGAAAACAGTCAAACGCCTCCCCCTCCCCACTAGCCAGGTCTCCAGAGAGGGCCAGAGGGCCAGCTGCTTTGCATCCCTGTTCCACCCAACTTGTCCTTTGTCCAGGTCCCCAATCTCTGTCCTGATCACAGAAAGATGTAGAGAATTTCCATCCTGAGAAACGCCACCAGGGAGGAACAGGTGTCCTCCTCAGGAAAAAAGCAAAACAAAAATGGCAACCCCCACACACACCTCACCTCTTGGATGAGCTGTGAATAGGCCATGGGTCCTAAACAATCACAGGATGTATGGATTGTTGTACCAGCTCTAAGAGTCCCCAATGAAATTATTCTTAAAAAAGAAAATGTATCTCTTTAGGATGCACAAATCCAAGAATCTCATACATTTATTGCAATAAATTCCACCCTTCGTCTTGAAAAAACAATCACAGGACAGGCAGGGATGGGAAGCTGGGACAAGGGCTTTAAGCTCTTCTCAGTTGCTCAGGGTGGGGGTGGGGATGGGGACTGAGGGAACTTCCCTCTGGGAGAAAGAGCTGCTGTTTAGGGCTCTCTCAGCTTTGGGGAAAGGCTCCTCCCAGGGAGGGCTCAGCCAGGCCCAAGGAGCCTCTGGCCTGAAGAAGAAGCCCAGGGACATGGCAAATGGACAGAGAGAGGCACAGCCATACAGGGACCCAGGGTTCTCAGCACCCTAGAAGCTGCTTCTCCAGGTTTTCTGGAGCTGGGGCCCAAGGCTCCAAACTGGCGGAAGAGCTAATGCCACAAGTCTAGCCACATCAAAGCAGAATTCTAGGACCTGCCAGACACACACACCCCTGAAGCCGCCGCTGTACTCCCCACCCCACCTCCCTGCCCCAAACTCAAGGCATCACAGGGGCGGCCCAGATTGTCCTCCCTTTTGTTATGAGGACCGGGCATGGTCCCAGCCTCTCAAGGCCAGTCTTCTTAGGATCCCTCCATCTCTTTTCTCTTTGGGCCTTGAACTCCACCTTCTACTTCCCCCAGGCACAGCCTTAAGCACTCAGTCCAACAGAAGCCCTGTCCAGCCTCCCAGTCTCAGGCCTGTAGAGGGAACAGTGCCCACTGAGGCCTTGAAACAGGGTCACAATGACCTGTTGACTCCCAGAACCTGACTCAGGACTGGACACACAACTAGGACCCCCCTACATACCAAAGCCAAGGCTGGGAAATTAAGGCAAGAGGTCAAGTGTGGTGGCTTTCCATCAACTCAGGCTTGATACCACCCCTCCCCCCTGGCCCTCCCCTCAAGCGAGGGTGCAAGCCAAATGTGAGTGTTCTCTCCCACAGTGTGGGTGTGGGGGAAGGGTTCAGCAGGGTGGGTTGAACTGAGTAAGGAATTCCATCATCCCATTTCCTCCTGTCTCCCCACGAAGTGCTGCCCTCCTCTACCCAGCATGTCCTCCATGCCCCTCACCACCACCCCTAGCCCTCCCTGTGCCTATGCCTAGGGATAAGGACCATTAAGGGAGGGTAGGTGGAACAGCTGCCTCCGACCTTCCTCAGGCAGGGGTGTGCCCACCTGCTAAAGCCACCATTCAAGAGGAAAGGAACCTAGCCTATGCCTCTCTCCTCAGTTCAGAGAAATACCACAGCACAGGTCCACAACCTAAACCCATTCCCTCCTGCTGCGTGACACTAGGGAAGTGTCCACCAAGCCCCCAGAGCACCAAGGGCAGGAGACTAGGACCCCCGCCGCTCTTCCGCCGCCATCCCCGTGGGTGTGGCGCTCCCATGCAGCTCCAGCCTTGGCTTCCCAGGGGCAGAGCAGCTGCACGTCCCCCCATCCTGTCTCCCACCCCACCCCTCCGGGCTGCTGCAAGGCTGAGGTTCTGTCCCTCTGAGATAATCCTGGAGGCTCCCCACCTTCACCTCGGCTGACGCAGGAGCCTCAAGAGCCCGCACCCCACCACATCACCGCTCCCCTCTCAGGGGTACTGAGACCCCTGAGAGAAGCTACTCGTCCAAGGGCACACCAAAAAGGCGCTGGCAATGGCTGTGGAGCGGGGAGAGGGTCAGGGCTGACCCCATTATGCACCCGCCTTCACTGTGACACATGTGTCCCCCAAGAGCACCCCGCGAATATCCCTGTTTCAGCACCTAACGGTCACCCTTGTCCCAGGGTCCCCCCCATCTCCCAGCTCAGGGATCGGGGAAGCTCTCCAGAACCCCGCCCAACAACGGAGCCCCCGCCCCAGCCCTCCCGCCACAGCCGACGGAGCCCCTGGTGCCGACTGCCTAGGACGGGACCCGGAGGAGACCTCCACAGGTAAAGCGGAACCGGGAGGCAGCAGAGGAGGGTCAGCCTCACCGAGCGGGGAGCACCCCGGGGCTGAATTGGGCAAGGACAGCAGAGGCGGCGGGTGGCGGCGGTGACAGCGACAGCAACCGGAGCCCAACGCAAAGCACGCGAAGGCAACCCCGCGCCGCACCTCCCGCCTCAAGGACACGCCTCCGCCTCCGTTCATTGGTCGCATCGAGGAGGTGGGGCTAAAGCCCCTGCCGACCAATAAGCAGGCTCCAGAGAACCGCCAACTGGCGCCGTGCCGCCGGGGTCACGTGCACGGAGTGCCGCTGCTGCGCTATGGGAGGCAGAGCCAACCAGAGCCCGACAAGTTCTCGCGATGAAGCCAGCCGGGCCGCCCCGACACGGTCTGAGGCCAGGAAGGGGCGAAAGAAGGGAAGGAGGGAGGAGCCTCGAATAGGCCCCGCCTCCGCCTCGCCTGCGGCTGCAGGACTAGCCCCTCCTGCCTTGCTTCAACCTGAGAGAGGCCTTCCGAGGACTCTACTCTCTCGGGCGGTACTTAGGCGAAACTTGGGCCGAAAGGCGAAGCTTAAGGGAAGGTTGCCTTTTCCATAAGCTCCCACGCCCTTACCAGCCATTGATAATGGGCCTGTCCAATTGATAACTCGGTCCTGTCCAGACACTGAGGACCACCCCCTGTCCTACTCCTCCCTCTGTGACGTCCGGGTTTCCTCCTCTTCTCTTTCCCCCGGTACTCCTAACTGGGAAGCTTCGGTGGAGACCTGAGCCGAGACGCGTCCTCGGAGCCCAGTGGGACCCGGGAGAAGCGTCAGAACAAAGAAAGCACGCGGGATGGGGGTTGGGAAAGACTGTGCCAACGCCCCGGGGGACCGCAGGCTCCGCTTTCAATCTCCACGGAGGCGGTCGCCATGGCAGCAGAATAAGCCTCGCTCTGCGTGGCGGGGTTAGATGGGGGTGCCACCACCGGGCGGGGGCGGGAAAGAAAGGCATAGTTGTCAGGGTCTCAGGGTCCCAACAGCAGATCCGCCTGCCCATCCATGAGCCCACAGCCCTCACGCGACTCTGCCAGCAGTGGACAGATTTCAAGTGAACGTGGGAGCCTCCCTCAGGGAGCACTAGGCTTTCCCTTCCAACGTGACGTGGGCGGCTGCAGGCCGGCTTCCCTTCGATAAATACCGGGGAGACTCGCTGCCTTTGGGATCCAAGGTGCTCACCTCGGATTGCTGCGATCCCTGACCCATCTCTCAGTCGCTGGCCTGGATGCTGTTGGCAAACTAATCTTCCTACCTGTTACTTCTTTCTACTGTCATCCTCTGGGGCTCTGAAGCACCGCCCACCCCACCACCTCACTTTCCGGTGTCACAAACTTTATAGCAGCATTGGGTGAGTGGTGCGCACTCTGGCGCTGGAATTGCGGTCCTCCTGTGCGTACATTGGGAACTTTCCGATCCCAACTGACCAACTTCTGCCAAAGGCTTTCTCACGCATACCCCTGACCCGTGCGCTCCACTCTGGGCCCCCATTATATTCCCAGATCTTTTCGTCAAGGTCTAACGTTGGTAGGCAGTAGGTCCAAGTAGCCTGCAGATTTTGTTTAGCTATATGGCTTTTTTTTTAATTTAATAACTCTAGGCTTCCTTGAAATATCAGAAGATCTAGCATTCCAGAGAGAAAGAGAGAGGAGAGAGAAAATGTGCTCCACGAGGTTTTTGGTGGCTGATTTTTCATAAGTTGATTCCTAGGCCTGCCTTCTGAGCTGCCTCTGTGTAGACCCCAACATCCAACCTTTTGGTTAGTAGCTGAGCCAGTTAGCTCTTTGCATTATTCTGGGGACTCCAATTTACGGTACTAATGTATACCCACATCCAAACCATTTGCCTCTTTATTGGCTCTGACTCCTAGCAACTCCATGAGTAGAAATGTACTCCGGGGTTTTCATGTCACTCTGTTGAATAACTACTGGATTGCTAAATTCAAGGCCGTTACTTCAAAACCTGCTCCGTAGGAGAAAGATAAGGCTTCTTGCTCCCATAAAAGATTTACTGCCACAGAAATTTTATCTAGGGTAGTGTGTTTAGGCTGGGTTACCTAGAGAAACAAATCCAGTAACACTCATATACAAGGGGGTGTCCCCCAAAACCTGATGCTCATTTGTTGTTTTGATGTGAGGTGGATAGTGTGTTTGGAGTTCATTCCACCAGGTCAGACTGTTAATCAAGCTTTCTATTTAGAGGGTCTGAAAAAACTGCATAACAGTGTGCAACAATAAGCCCTGATTTGTGGCAGACGGGACTGACAATGCACCTGCTCACACAGCCATCTCAGTGAGCCAGTTTTTGGCAAAAATCAGCATGCTTCTCTTGCTCCATGCATCTTACTCACCTTACCTCACTCCTTTCAACTTCTCTTTCCACAAATGCAGAAGGACATGAAAGGACAGCAATTTGATGATGTAGAAGAGGTGAAGGAAAAAAACAGGGAGGCGCTGTCAATACTCCAGATGAGTTTGAAAACTGTTTCCAAGAATGGAATCACAGATTTGACATATGTTTTAAGTGTAATGGAGAGTACTTTGAAGGTGATAAGGTTGTTTTGTAAAAAAATTTAAATACATAGCTTTGAAAAAAATTCCAGTTTGGGGGGAAGTATACCCTAGTATGTGTAAGAGAGAGCTTTATATCAAGAAGTGAATTTATATTAAGCAAACATCCCAACCCAATCCAGATCAAGTCCATAAGTCCCTCTTCAGACTCATGCAGCCACATGCAAGTAGGCAAAATGCAGGAAGATCACAGATGGGTGGGTGCAGAGTGTAGATCCGATAGCAGTGGCCACATCACAGGGCTCTCGTATGTCCCAGAGTGCCTCACCAGCAGGAAGGTGAAGGCAGAAAGAGAGGGGGAGGTTCCCAGGACCCTCCTTATAAGAAGCCCACACCCACCAAGAGTCACTATCAGGTTGTGACCTGATTGACAGGCTAGACTCCACCCCTACACTTGTATCCTATCTTCAAGTTGACATGAAATTATGTAACTACCACAGATGACTATGAGTCAGAATTGACTGGGTGGCAGTGGGTTTGGACCTTTCAGAAGCAATTCACCAGATCTTTCTTCCAAGGCACCTCTGGGTGGGTTTAATTGCCAGGCTTCTGGCTAATAGCCCATCCCCTCACAGTTTGTATCACCTAGAGACCCCCATATTGCTATAATCTCTACCACTCCCTGTTTTCTCATACTTATTGTATTACCTTCCAGGTCGGTGTAGACTTTTGACTTCTTGATCCCCTCCCCCCTCTTCTTACTACCTTCCCAGTTGGAATGCCCTTTCCACTCTCTTTTCATGGGCAGAACGCACCCTTCCTTCAAAGCCAGGTGAAGGCCTACCTGTTTTATATAGTCTTTCTAGCCAACTTCTCACCAACCTCTCTGGGGAAGGCTGTCTCAAACACATAGACTAACAGCCTGGAGCTCTTCCCTAACCTTCTATTCCTTTCCACAAATATTTACTGCGAGCATACAATGAGTAAGTCACTGCTGGGCTCTGTGGAGAGTGAGGCACACTCACAGAAAGAGCTGTGGTCTCCTGGCCATGCCAAGCACCCCTCAGACTCCTAGGTGCCAGGCAGTATAGCTTACGGGCCAACTGGGAAGACTGGCAACAGAGGGCTGGCCATGCCTGGGGACACTCTGGGCTCGCAAAGGCCACAATTGGGTACAGATAGCTCTGGGTAGTCTCGAGAAGGAAGGAAATGACCTCTTTGCACAAGCTCTGAGGTACATGTTTGCCCCATTGCTGCCCAATGGACCTACGTACACAGAAGGTGTGTCAACATCCAAGCAGTGCGGAGGCCCTGAGACTTCCTGTGTAAAGGACCTGACTGCAGGGAAGCCGTAGGCCTCTGCCAGGCAGATTGGAGATGGGGTCAGTATGCGGAGGAATTAGAAGCACCCCAGGCGTCTTAAAGGCTTGAAGGTAATCAAGCAGCCATCAAGCTCAGAAGCAACAAAGCCCACATGGAAGAAGCACACCAGCCTATGCAATCACGAGGTGTCGAAGGGATCAGGTATAAGGCATCATCAGAACAAAAAATCTTACCATAGTGAATGAGGCGGGGAGTGCGGAGTGGAGACCCAAAGCCCATTGGTAGGCCACTGGAGATCCCCTTGCAGAGGGTCCTCGGGGAGGAGATGAGCCAGTCAGGATGCGATGTAACAACGATGAGAAATACAACTTTCCTCTAGTTCCTAAATGTTTCCTCCCCGCTCCCACTACCATGACTCGAATTCGACCTTGCAAGTCTGGCTAGACCAGAGGATGTACACTGGTACAGATAGGAACTGAAAATACAGGAAATACAGGGCGGATGATCCCTTCAGAACCAGTGGTGTGAGTGGCGAAACAGGGAGGGTAGAGGGAGTGTGGGTAGGAAAGAGGGAACCGATTACAAGGAACTATATGTGACCTCCTCCCTGGGGGATAGACAACAGAAAAGTGGGTGAAGGGAGAAGTTGGACAGGTCAAGATATGACAAAATAACAATTTATAAATTATCAAGGGCTCATGAGGGAAGGGGGAGTGGGGAGGGAGGGGAAAAATGAGGACCTAATGCATCTGACCGTACTTCCTTTAAGCTTAAGTGGAGAAGAAATGTTTTGAGAATGATGAGGGCAATTAATGTACAAATGCGCTTTACACAATTGATGTGTGTATGGATTGTGATAAGAGTTGTATGAGCCCCTAATAAAATGATTAAAAATAAAAATAAGCAAATAAAAAAAAAAAAGCACCCAGGCTAGGTGATTAAATTGAGCACACGTAGGATACATACTCCAACTCCAGCTCCAAACACAGGGTATTCTGGATTCTATTATTTTTAATAAAAAGAAATCGCTATGATGACTTTGGAAAACTTTGGCACAACCTAATAAAGCTGACAGATTTCAATCCTATTACACACAGGAATTCCTACATGAGCCATTCTCTCACCCACTCTGCGCCCAGAAGACTTAGATGGTGTCTGGCTACCCCTACTGACCTTTCTGATCAGAGCCACAACAGATGGACCTGAAAACAATAGGAGAAAAACATGGAGCAGAACTTATAAATCCATATGGGATGAACTGGACTAGAGGACTCCCCGAAACTACTGCCCTGAGATACTCTTTAAGTATTTAATGGAAATATATATATATATATAGAATGAAAATTATCCCTTGAGGATGCCTTTTAGCAAAGCAGCAGGTTGGCACACAAAACAGAGGGTTTTACTTGTGGGTGTTTTGCTGATGTTATTGCCGATTGCTCTGTTTGAGCCCATTGTTGCAGCCACTGGATCAATCGTCTCACTGAGGGACCTTCTCTGCTTCTGAAAACCCTCTACCCAGCACGCTGTCCTTTTCCAGGGATTGGTCTTTCCTGATAACATCTCCAAAGCACATGAGACAAGGCCTCACCACCCTAGCTGCTGAGGAGCATCTGACCGTACTTCCTCTAAGACAGCACTCACAGAGCTTCATCAGCTTGTTGACATGTTTCAATTGGTATTCCATCAATTCTTGGAGGCTTGTTTTGTTTTTTCACCAAGGCCCTCAGTGCAATTTGGACTTCTTCCTTTAGTACCTTTGGTTCTTGATCATATGTTACCTCCTGAAATGACTGAATGTTAACCAATCACTTTTGGCACCATGACTTTGTGTCTTCCTTCCATCTTCTTTTGATGCTTCCTGCATCATTCAATATGCTGCTCATAGGACACTTCAGTATTGCAGCTTGAAGCTTGAGTTTTTCTTCACCTCTTTCAGCATCAAATAGCGGAGTATGTCCTTCCCTTTTGGTTTTCTAACTCCAGGTCTTTGCACATTTCATAATATTTTGTCTTCTCAAGCTGCCTTTTGAAATTGTCTGTTGAGATCTTTACTTCATCATTGCTTCTATTTGCTTGAGCTACTCTAGATTGTAGAGCGAGTTTCTCTTCTGACATCCATTTGGATCTTTTCTTTCCTGTCATTCTCGAGACCTTTGCTTCCTTCATATATGATGCTATGGGTGTCAGTCCACAACTCATCTGGTTTTCAGTCATTAGTGTTCATTGCATCAAATATGTTCTGAGATGTCCTCTAACTCCAGGTGGGACAAACTCAAGGTCATCTTTGATTCTCCTGGGGTAGTGGTTGGAGGTAGTTGGAGAGGCAGCCTGAATCCAAGGGATACCCTAAGGCCATCCTGAGTTAGGATATGGGGATCAGACCAGGGTCAAGATTTGTCATAAATGTTTATTGTTCATTTCTTTTAGGAACTCAGGACACATCACTGGAGTAAACAATCCTTGGTTCATGACACTCTCACCTCATTTGCCTACGAATGGCTAACTTATGAACACATACCTGCCCAGGAACTAGAACATTACAAAACATATACAAGAGGGTAACCACCACCACCCCCCCAAAAAAAAAGAAGAGAAAAAACTCCACTGGGTGGAGTTTTTGTATTACACTTGTTTCCTCCTGCTAGGCGAGCATCACGAGCAACTTGCTCTGAGTTAGTGCACCCAGTGGTGTTCCCTGGGAAGGTTCTCTCTGGTCACAGTGAATTTTTTCATAAAAGCAGCTTTGCTCAAACCTTGTTTTTTTGTGATGACTGATTTAAGACAATGGCATGTGACTGTGAAATTTTGTTTCCTGCTTGAGAAAAATGACACAGAAACTGTTGTGATGTTGACACAGCTTACAAGGACAGCACTATGGGAAAAACTCAAGTGTATTAGTGATTTTCTTTCTCATTTCAAAAGAGATGAAATGTTGATTGATGACAAACCTCATTCTGGACACCTGTCAACATCCAGAACGGACAAAAATGTTGGCTCATAGTACATTTGGAGCTCATTCCACCAGGTCAAACTGTTAATCAAGCTTTCTATTTAGAGGTTCCGAAAAAATTGCATAACAGTGTGCAACAAAAAGGCCTGATTTCTGGCAGGCGGGACTGGTTTTGCCACCACGACAATGCACCTGTTCACACAGCCATCTCAGTGCACCAAGTTTTAGCAAAATTCAATATGCCTCTCTTGCCCCATGTACCTTACCTGACCTCACTCCTTGCCACCTCTTTTTGTTTCCACAAATGCAGAGGGACATGAAAGGACAGCAATTTGACAATATAGAAGAGATGAAGAAAAAATGAGGGAGGTGCTTGCTGTCTGCCATCCAAACAGATGAATTTGAAAACTCCAAGAATGGAATCACAGATTTGACAAATGTATTAAGTGTAATGGAGAGTACTTTGAAGGTGATAAGGCTGTTTAAAAAAAAAAAAAGGTTAAATGTAGAGCTATGAAAAAAATTCCATTGGGGGGGAACCCCTCATATGTGTATTTCTTGCATCATTGTCCCTGCTTCCCCTCAGATGTCACCATGATCCCAGATCTTATTCTCTCATGTCTCCTGCCCACTCCATACCCCAACATGTAGTTCCTTCCGACGAGTGTAGGCTGGATCTAGTGACTGGCTTCTAACAAATAGAATATTAGAGCGATGGGATGTCACTTCCATGATAACATTACATAAGAGTGTAACTTCCACTGAGCTGTCCAACTGTTAACTTTCTCCCTTGCTGGCTTTGATGATGTAACTTGCCATGTTGGAAAGGGCCACATGGCCAGGCAATGAGGACAGCCAATGGCCAACAACCAACAAGAAACAGGGGCCCTTAGTCAACAGTCCACAAGGAACTGAATCCTGCCTATAGTCAAGTGAGCTTAGAAATGGTTCATTTCCCAGCAGAGCCCTCCAGTGAGACCACAGCCCAGCCAAGACCTTCACTGTAAACTTGTAAGAAATCCTGAAGCAAAGCGCCCAGCTAAGCCATGACAGGACTCTCAACCCAGAGAAAAAGTGAGATAGTAAACATGTGCTGCTTTAAACTGCTGTCTGTGGTAATTCGTTACACAGTAATAGATAATAGAGGCTCTTTTCTTTTGCAAGCAAACACTGTTGCTATGAACAATCCTGCCTCCCTGAACACAAGAGCCTAAGTTTCCCCTGAGTATATGTCTAGGAGTGGAACTGCTAGGTATCAGTATTTGTAAATGTTCAACATTACTGGTAGTCAGTAAACCATTAGAGTTAAGGTCACTCAGTGGCCATGGGGTCTCACTCAGGTTGGAAGTTAAGCTAGGCCTCAGTCCATAGAACATGCGACGGTTGGAACTTACACAATGAACAAGTTAAGAGGTTGGTTCTTGGGCAAGATGGAAGGTGAAGGTGGGGCCAGAGTTGGGTGGAGTCTGGAGCCTGTGGTTTGGGCTGACTTTAGAGGTCACTGTGAGAATGGGCTCAATGGTCAGTCTGGGGCCGGTGCTAGAAGACCGGGGAGGGCAGGCAATCATCAGATGGGTAATGCTTGGTGCCTGGCAATGGCATCACCCAAGAGGCAGTGCTCACCCAGGGCCAAGTGAGGCCCACTCTGGGCTTCCACACAGGGTAGCAGGGAATGTATCGAAACAGGAATGGACTGTCCCAGCCCAAGCCAGAAATCAGATTTAGGAAAGAAAGCACATCGTCTTTAATAAAGGCAGCCTGGTTACACATCCCCCAGAAACTCCTAAGGATGCCCTAGTGGGTAGGGAGGGAGGGTCCTTGGCCTTCCTGGGGGAGCCCACTCCTCACCCCTTCCTCTCTAACTACTGCAGTCTCCATCTGCTGTTGGGTCCCAGCTGAGTGCCCACGAGGGGTATAGGAGAGGCTCAGCTCTCCATGGTCAAGAGCACAGAGAACCAGGCTGGATGGAACCTCTAATGTCCTCAGAACCATGCAAGGACCCAGTTCTGGGGATGAGGACAGAACAGGAGGGCTGCCTCCCAAGCCTCAGCAGCGGGAGTGCTAAAGCCAGATCCCCGGAGTCCTTGGGCACAGCTTTGGTGGGGGGCTTGCCGGGTCTCTGCATGCAGCTTCTGGGTTCTGGAAAGCAATCCCTTCTCCGGACCCAGAATGGAGTGGAAGGAGGTCGCTCAGTCCGGACGGACGCATCTCCAAGGGCTTCCATCAGGTCTCTCCCCACCCTAAGGAAGCAGGGGCTCTCACGCCCACGCACAACCTAGGGCAGGCTCCGCCCACCCAGTTGCCCGGTCCATCTGTCCGTCGGTGAGTGGGTGTGTCTTAGTGTTTTGACTCCATCCGGTACCCCGGCGTGGCACCTCGGCGTGCGGGTTGGGCGGCCGCCGCTCGCTCACCGCTGCTTCCGCTGCGCCTGCTGGAGCCGCCGGGAGAGGTCGTCGATGCGCACATTCTTGAGTTGGAGCAGGTGTTCCAGGCGCCTCACCTTCATCTGCAGGACCTGGGTGATGTGCGCAGAGGTCAAGGCGGGGGATCTGCTGCCTCCGCCCCACGTCTGCGGGACGGGGACCCCAGCCTTCCCAGCACGTCTCACCTGCACCGTCTCCTGAGAGGCCAGGAGCTCTTGCTCCTTTTCAGCGATCTGAAGGACGAAGCTTGGGTCGCCCTGCAGCACCTGGCTGTACCCCAGAGGCCGCGGCGCAGGCAGCCGGTCCCCCCTGGGTGGGGGTCAAGTAGGAATCAACTTAAGCAGGAGCCTGGACCTCATCTTGGGCACCATCCTCCTCCTTCCCGTCCCTCCCCTCCCCTCCCAGACCACAAGGGCTGGCGAGGTCAGGAACCTCCAGGCACAGCAGCCCTTACTTGGTCAGACCTCCTCCTTGTGGTTCTGGGGCACCTTCTCCTCGGGCCTTCTGGGGCAAACCTGAGGTACAAGGAGGGACTGACTGGGCGGCCTTCCCTCCACTCCAGGCCCCGCCCCCTTCACAAGTGATAAGAATAAAACACGGAAGGAAAACCAGGTTGCCTACCCACATCCATGTAGCCACTGCCATCCTGGGGAGCCAGCTCCTGAAAGAACCCCAGGTCCCCTGTCAGCCTGGGCTCCTCCATCCCCCAGGAGTCAGTGCTCCACCCCCCCACCCACCCCCCATGTCCTCAGACCAGGCTCTCTTGGTCCAGTCATTTCTCACCAAGGCGGGGAGGTGGGGTGGTACCTGTAAGGAGCCCAAGCCCTGCTTCCGGCGCCTCTGTCTTTCCTCCAAGCGCTGCCGCAGGGGGAGGAGCACCAGCTCCACCACGCCCGGGGTGCACTGTGCTATCTTACGCATCACGTCCTCAGGAACCGAGAAGTTCAGCTTATTCAGCACCTTTCTGGGTGGGGCAGACAGGAGGGAAGCGGACTGGGTCCTGGGGTGGTCAAGGGAGGGGGTGGAGCAGTCTGAGTTCTAAGTGAACAGGCCTAGGGGAGCAGGGCACCACATCATAAGGTCTTCTTTGAGTCTCCCAAGGTCCCTTGTCTCCTTAGTCACTAAGGCTTAGTGGAAGAGCCTCTTGATTTTGTTACAATCAATATTCGATTCTTTCAGCGTTGGCCCTCCCCACCCTGTCAACACCCCTGCCCACCCCCTACACCCCACCCGCACCCCCAGGTCCTTCCTGGAGAAGGCAGTAGGGGCTGTGGACCCAGGTAGACTACTACCTGTTCAGGTGAACCCAGTTGCTGAGCTTCTGCTGGAGAGAGTTGGCCGGGACATAATTGTGCATCTCCACCATCTTGGGAAAATAAAACTTGACAACCTCTGCTACCAGGACTGAGGGAGTGGTGATGGAGCAGAAATGAAGCGGGGGGCGGGGGTGGGGGGGGTTGGTTGATCAAGAAGGGATAGCATGTAACAATCAGGGGTGGTGGAAAGATGGAGATGTGGGGGGGTGATCAAGAAGGGATAGCATGGAACAATCAGGAGTGGTGGAAAGATGGAGATGTGGGGGGGTGATCAAGAAGGGATAGCATGGAACAATCAGGGGTGGTGGAAAGATGGAGATGTGGAAGGGGCAATAGGGAGAGAGAGGTAGAAGAGAAAGGGGAAGGGGGGATAGAGAGTGATCAGGGGGAGAAAGCTGAGTGTCCAGCACATCCCAAAGACACTGCATGCTTTCCCCTGAACTCAGGGCAAAGGGAAGCTGAGGCCTCCCATAGAGAAGGTGTCTCCTACAGCACTGACGAAACACACAACATTCCTCTAGATCAGCGGTTTTCAACCTGTGGGTCGTAACCCCTTTGGAGGTTGAACGGCTCTTTAACTGGGGTCGCCCGGTTCATAGCAGTACTAAAATGACAGTTATGAAGTAGCAATGAAAATACTTTTATGGTTGGGGGTCACTACAACATGAGGAATTGTATTAAAGGGTCTCGGCATTAGGAAGGCTGAGAACTTCCACTGCTCTAGATCCTTAATGCTTCCTCCCCCATCCACCCAGATCATGACCCCAGTTCTACCTTACAAATCCAGCTAGACCAGAGCATGTGAACCGGTACAGATAAGAGCTCTGGACACACGGAATCAAGGACAGATAAAACCTTCAGGAATAATGGAAGTAGCGATACCATGAGGGTAAGGGATAGGTGGGGGAGGTGGGGAGAAAGGGAGAACCAATTGCAATGATTGACATATAATCATACACACACACACCCCAGGGTGACAAACAACAGAAACTCGGGTGAAGGAAGATATCATATGGTTTAAGATATAAAAATAATAATAATTTATAATTTATCAAGGGCTCATGAGAATGGGAGGGTGGGGGAGGGGGGAAAAGAGGCGCAGATACCAAGGGTTTGAGTAGAAAGTGTTTGGAAAATGATGGTAGCAACATATGTACAAATGTGCTTGATACAATTGCTGTATGGATTGTGATAAGTGCTGTAAGAGCCCCTAATAAAATTATTTTTAATTTAAAAAAATCATTTTATTGGTGGCTCATACAGCTCTTATCATAATCCATACATCCATCCCTTGTGTCAAGCATTATTTGTACATTTGGTACCATCATCAATTCTCAAAACATCTGCTTTCTGCTTGAGCCCTTGGTATCAGCTCCTCATTTTTCCCCTCCCTCTTTTTATTTATTTATTTTTTTAAGAGGAGTCTCCAAGAGAGAACTTCAGGATCCGAGGCCCAACCGTAAGCATGCACCCAGTGCAAGTGTGTGTGTGTGTGTGTGTGTGTGTGTGTGTGTTCCAACACCAAAGTCCCAGGAGAGCCTCACACAAGCAGAGACACATGTGAGCAGACCTTCCTACAGACAGACAGAAGATAGATGCTCAACACCAGACACACATGACAAGCACAAAGTCACGTATGCACGTAAAACCTGTTGCCATCAATCTACCCTGGCCCTAGCAACCCTACAGGACAGACTGGAACTGCCTCATAGGGTTTCTGAGGCTGTAGATCTTTATGGAAGCAGACTGTCTACTCTTTCTCCATGGGGTGGCTGGTGAGCCCTAACTGCCAACCTTCCAGTTAGCAGCTGAGTGCTTAACCTCTGTGTCACCAGAGTCCCCTCACATGCACATAGCCTCCTCCCCAAATATACACAGACACACACCAATGAAGCAACAAGAGGAAGTTACAGTCACACAATCGCATAGAAACGTACGCACACAGATGCACATCCAAGACAAAACTTGTGACCACCTACAGGCACACAGTCCCCACAATATACACGACAACACACACTCAGCTACATGCCTGCAGACAGATGCACAGTGACATACAAGCACACACCCTAGTCACTGACGTCTCAGGAATAAGTCTGAAGCTTACACATTCGAGACACATATGTACACAGACAGCACACATGTATATCAAACAAGCCCAAATATACATATCCAAACTCCCCCATACAAATATAAAACACACACACTTTTATAATTGAAGTTCCAGGATGCAGTCAGACCCCTCTGCCCGCCTGCAAGTACATACTGGCCTTTTACGCACGAACACACAAGATAGAACGCACAGACACTCGGGGACACACACGGGCGCACACCTCCGTCGCTGAAGTCCCGGGAAAGGTTTCGCTTGGGCCTGGAGAGTGGGATGCTGTCGACCCACAGGTACAGCTGGTGCAGGGTCTCCTCGTCCACACCGCCCTCCTCCATCGGCACGCCGGAGGAGCCAGGCTGCGCCAGCCCTGCCGCAGCCGGCCTCAGCCTCACCACCCTTCAGACGCTCGCTTCCTCGGCCGCCGCCGGCACCCGGTCTCCGCGACTGGAGTCCCAGCTGGGAGCGGCCATATTGTTTTAAGAAACCATAGCAACTACCCAAGTCGCCAGGGAGCAGAGGCTTCTGGGAGTTGCAGTTTTTACTGCGCCCCGGTGGTGCAATGGGTTAGGAATCGGGCCGCTCGTTGCTGTTAGCAGTTGGAATTCACTAGCTGCTCTGCGGAAGAGATGAGACTTTCTGTTTCCGGAGAGATTTACAGGCTCGATACCCGCTGGGGCAGTTCTACTGTATCTTATAGCGACGCTACGGGCTGAACGGACTAGGAGGCAGTGGGTTCACTTCCTCCCAGGTCCCAAAGCCCTTGGGTCCTTGTCTCCCTCTCCTCAAGAAGGCCTCCCCTCTCCGCCCAAGCCACCCTGTGGTGACCAGTCACTGGCCCACTCTGCGACCTGCCAACGCCTACAAGGCCCTAAGGACCCCAGGGCTGGGATCCTGTTCCGGGTCAAGAGAACACAGCTTCATAGCCAGATGTGTCAGCTTTTTCTGGGTTGGGAGGCGTGGGGGATGTGTGTGTGTAAACGGTTACTGATCTATCCAAATGGACTCTGGCTGATCATGCCTTCTTGCTGGGTACCCCACGCCACTAAAGCTCTATAGGGTGTCACTACACCCCTCCCATGGCAATGTTCTTGATGGGCTATTTTCCATCCATCAAACTTCCAGAGGAATTTAAAGCTAGTGCCTGGGGTACTTAACTCCTTACTCTTGTTCCTCCTTTGTGAAATGGGAATGGTTCTCACCTATTGGTCCCCACAGAGTGATAAAAAGCTTCTACAAAGAAGTGTAGCATTTCAGAGGCTGGCATTTGTTTGTATGGGCAAGACTGGAGGTTGGCTAAAGGTTGAGGAGTTTCAAGAACTCCTGTATATAATTGTGCACCCCTCCCTTTGCGGACTAGAAATGGGTTCAAATGGATTTGGAGTCAATCTGTTCCATTTCAAAATAGCCCTACTCTGAAGTTAGGAATACGATGCCTGGGAGGAGAAATTGAGCACAGCAGTTCTAGAACCAGCTTGTGGGAGCGAAAACCTGCTTCCACCAGATTTCCTGTGTGGCTTTGGGCATGTGACTACATCTCTCTGTGCTTGTTTTCTCCTGGGGCTTTGCGAGCAAATCCATTAAAATGTTTCATACCGTGCCTGGCACATAGCCATGGACCTGTTAACATCGGGTGGCATGACCATTGAGGTCATTTCAGTTCCAACACAAAAGAAGTTCTGGTTGGCAGGAAACATAAGGAAGTGGCTGTGTTGGTATTTGAGGTGGGAGACGTGGGTTTGAGACAACCACAGCTCCAGGGCAGGTCAGAGGCTAGATTGGGCTGCATTAGGCTCCCCCAGGCTCCCAATGATTGGTGGTGGTAACAAAGGGAACCCCAATTGTTCTCTGTAGTCTGTAACCGTTTAGTTTGGAAGGCTTGAAGATATGAAGGCCACTCAAGTGTCACAAGTGAAAAAGGTTATGACAGTCACCCACCCTTCTTGTCTTTACTGTCCTGCACGATGGCCTTGCTTTTCTAAGACAACATGCCCATGGCAGGCAAGGGACACAAGACCTGGACGGTTAACTTTCCAGGGTGGGGAGAGGAGGAACTGCAGAGCGCTGTTGGGCAGGAGGGAGGATAAGGAAGCACAGGAGTCATGTGTCAGCCCCCAAGCAGAGGTGGGAAAACCGGTTTGGGGACCAGGGTTGCTTGCCCGCTCAGGCTAAGGCCCTCCCCAGACTGAGAATGCTGAGGTCTGAGGGCCTCCCTGAGGGACAGTGAGGGAGGGGCTGGGCCTGAGAGACAAGGGGGAAGTAGCAGGTGGTCAGAATAGATGTTTGCCTTCACCTGGTACTGGCCCTCACCTAGGGGGCACCTCAAAGGGAATCGCCAACCCTTCCTCTCGGTCTTGACTTGGGAGTGCAGCAATTTCACCTCCCTCCTGTCACTCTTTTGTCAAGTGGCCACCAGGCTTGCAAATACCTTCACTCAAAGATCTAACAAGCCCTACAAAGGAGCCCCTTTTGGTTAGCATTGGACTGCTAACCACAGGGTTGGGGGTTCAAACCCCCTAGTCACTCCTTGAGAGTAAGATGGTGCTGTCTGCTCCCAGAAAGACAGGTTCATAAACTCTATAATGGTCTCCAAGATGGAACTGGTTCAATGGCCTTGGGCTTTTGGTTTTTAAGGTTCTAAAACAGGGGTGGGGGAAACCTTTTGTCTGCCAAAGGCCAGCTGGAATTTTATAACCTCATTCTCGGGCCACATGGGTCCAACATTTAATCACCTCGCCCCTAATGTGATGGCTGGAACGGCTTCTTTGGGGTGAGATGTGTAATGTTAGCTGGTATTGATGATTTTGTGGGCCTTATGTGGCCCTCAGTCCCCACCCTATACTAAAAGTACACTTAATGCTGCCCCACAGAGCTCCAATCTGAGCCACAGGAGTGACCCCAGCACCCCTTCCTTCCTGTCCTTCTGGCCCTCTCTTGCAAGGGCTTCCTTCAGCCAGCTTTGGTGGACCCAGTACTCACGTGTGTGCTGTTCATATTGGCTCAACAGGTCTGATAGAGCCCTTCCTGCAGTTCCCGTCCCAAGACACCAGCCTTCTAAATCCACAGCTCGGAAAGATTTGGCTTTCTGGCGCCCAATCTCAAAGCCCTGGAGAGTCCTCCCAGAGCCTTACGTGATAGTTGGAGATGATGTGTTCCCCCTGTCCCTTACCCAGGTCACCACTAGGCCTTGGCTACCCTTACAACACTTGCTTCCACACCCCACCAGAGCAGGGGCCACAGGGAACCAGAAAAGGACGTGCCCCCAAAACAGACGCAAGCCCAGACCATGAAGGATGCACCCTTGGCTGTTAAAATGTTCACCCCCACAAAAGGGGGGTGGACGGATTTATTGAATTCAAACTGGGAAAGGAGCAACTGAAGGCCAGACTTTGGGCCCAGCCCCAGGCCGCTCTGCCCAGGTTGGGGCCCTGCCAGAGTGTGATGAGAGAGAGGCATGGGGCCTGCAGCTGCCCACTTGGGAAGTACCCATTATCACTCCCTTAGAAGGCCTCTTGGGGCTCTGCAAACTGGAAAGAAAACCAAAGGCCAAAGTAACATGGACTGAGCCAGAGACGGGGACTGGGGAGGTGGGAAAGCAGGCAGATGCAGGCTCAGGGGCCTGCGGTGAGTTAGAAGTGTGCTTCTCGAAGCGGCCCCAGGGTCAGAGTGGGGCTATCAGCCTTAGTGGGCTCTAGGCTGGCCCTCCCTCTGGGAGCCCTTCCCAGAATGGCTTTGGGGTCCCCCACCCCCACCAAGATCTGGTGTGGATGGCAGAGGGGACAGGCACTCTCTGGCCAGGAGCTTCTAGGGCCTATCCCTGGCTGCTGCTGTGGCTGAATCCACGGATGGCACGGTGTGGTAGCACCGGACAGGTCCCTGCCCAAGTCACCTGGTCACCCAGGCCCAGGGGCAGAGGAGAAGGAAGAGGATTCTGAGAAAGAGGCAAAAGCAGGCAGAGGCTGACCCCAGCTCCAGCCCTACCCAGGTGACCAGGCCTGTCACAGGGCCGGGGGAAGCAACTCTGGTGGACAGGGGACTCCCCCCAACCCCCGATTCCAGCCATAGCGCTGCTCTCTGGATTGGCGCTGCCACATCTGGATTGGGGGCATGGCTAGACCCTGTGGCTCAGCTCTGATGCCCAAAACCCCACATTCCCACCTGCCTGGCGTGGTTCTTCTTGGTCACATGGACCAGGTCATGTTCCAAGTGGAGGATGTGGCTCTGCACCCGGTCATCAATAGGGAAGGAGGTCAGGTACCTCTTGACCATGGCAAAGTAAGCCATGGCCTCCCCAAAGCTGGGCACAGGCACCTCATCACCATCCTCTTCATCATCATCCTCTTCATCCTCATCATCCTCATCTTCCTCCTCGTCCTCACTGTCCGATTCAGAGTCCTCCTCACCTTCCAGGAAATGGAAGGTGGGGCACTGGGCCTCCTCCTGGGCACCGTAGCCCCGGAAGCTGCCACCAGCCTCCACTACCCCCTGGGCCCAGTCCTCGGCATCCAAGCCCTCAGAAGAGCTCTCCTCCTCCTCCTCCTCCTCTTCGTCATCATCACTGTCCTCAACATCACCCTCCTCCTCCACCTCCTCTTCCTCCCCCACTTCCTCGCCCTCCCCTCCCTCCTCCTCCTCTCCTTCCTCCTCTCCTTCTGCTTCCTCCCCTTCTTCCCCTCCCTCCTCCTCCTCTTCCTCCTCCTCTTCTTCCTCCTCCTCCTCCTCTTCTTCTTCTTCCCCCTCACTCTTGAGAGCAGTAGTTATGGTAGCATCAGGATCACCCCCAAAGCCAGCCTCGCGGAAGCAGGAGGCTATGTCTGAGGGTTGCACGGCCTGCCAGGCTGCTGCGACGAAGTGCAGGGCTTCCATGAGACCCAACTGCAGGCGTGAGGGATCCTGGCTCTCTAGGGCAGCCATGGCCTTGAGCAGCATAGCCTGGCGGTAGTGGCCCTTCACCTGTTGAACCACTCCCCGCTCCAGCGGCTGCACAGTGCCGGACGGGAAGAAGGCCAGCTGCACATGCCGCAGGCCCGAGGTGTCCAGGGTCTGGGCGGCCATGCGGCCGGCCAGCAGCAGGACACGGCGTGACTCGGTGGCCATGCGGGCATCCAATGCCTTCAGGTACTTGGCTAGCACCTGGCTGGTGACACCACCCTTGGAGTTGGCAGTGTAGTCGCAGGGCAGGCCGCCTTGGCCTGCGCGGGGCTTGGCTGACTTGCCAGCCACCAGCGGGGGCAGCTTCTCACTGCCGTCGGCGTTGGCGCACAGCAGGACGCTCAGGCGCTGGGTGGCCCTGCGCTCCCGGCCGTCGCTGCCGCACAGCCCTGCGGCCTGGTCGGGCAGAAAGTCGTACCACAGGCTGGTCTCGATGGCGCTGAACACGTCCTGCGAGGCGTAGCCCTCAACCACTGACGGCTGCTGCCCCTCCCACGTGTGCCTGCCCGAGCCCGCGCCGCTGCCCTCGGAGGGCACCGCGGCCGAGCTGGCGGGCGCCGCCGGGCGGCGGGGGGCCGAGTTGCGCGCCCGGGGGCGGGGCACGCCGCTGCAGGACATCACCCCGTGGCGCCGGCGGAAGCGGTCCAGCCAGCCGTTGGAGGCGGTGAAGTCGTCCATGCCCAGCTCCTCGGCGATCCGCAGCGCCTTCTCCTTGAGGATGATGCCCTTGACCGGCAGGCCAGCGGCGCGGATCTGCTGGAACCAGGCTATGAGCAGTCCCTCGAGCTTGTCGTAGGGCGACAGCTTGTTCGTCTTGCGGCAGGTGGAGGCCACCCCGTACTTGCGCTCCGACGCCAGGATGGCGCGCTTGTTCTTCAGAATGGTGCTCAGCGTGGACGGCGGGATGTTAAAGCGCCGCGCGATCTCGCCCTTGCGCAGGTCCGGGTTCTCCTCCACCTCCTGGATGATCCGCGACTTCTCCCGGAACGTCAGC